TGCCCAAGAGAAATCTCAAAATTTTGACCCTCTCCCTAATTTCAAGATGATGTGACATTGAGACCACCTATGAGTCATCAGAAAGTTCCCCCGCCCCACTTTGATGGGCTGCAACTTTTATATTTGTGGGCTTCAGACGGTCACCACCTTGGACTTACATCTGTAGGGACAATACCCTCGTTGGCCCACCTCTCAGTAAGCCTCTGTGCCTGCAGTGCTAAAGAGGACATAGGGCCACATAAGGTTAATATACACTACTCGGTGGTACCCATCTTCAAGTGGTGTCCCACCATGTGCCACACCTACTATACCTTAATGTGCCTCTGGCTCTAGACTCTGTACAAAACAAAGTCCCTCTTCTCATGGCACTTCCATTCTACTGGTTAGCAGATAGGCGCTAACCAAAAATACACTAAGCATCTGATAAGAAAACTGATGCTGGGTGGATGTATAGAGGGCTGCCAGATTTAGCAAATAAACATACAAGATGCAGTTAACTTTTAAATTAATTCATTTTAAATTAAATGAGTTCTTCTGGTATAAGTATTCCCAATGCAATATTTAGGACATACTTAAACATTTTTAAAAAGTCTTTGTTGTTTACTTGTAGTTCAAATGTAACTGGAATCCTCACTGTATCTGGCCACCATAATAAAGAGGTGGTTGTACATGTGTACTCTGCTGTCACTTGTGGAAAGTGGGTCTATTGTAAGTAGGCAATGTGATGTGGATGGGGCGATTCTTTCCTGTCCTCTAGAGTCACTATGGGGCAGCATGGACTCAAACCGCACACAACCATGTACGATGACCTATTACTTGTTCTTTTAGAAGTATCTGTAGTTTAACATTGCTGTGTTGGTGCGAGAGTTGGATATACAAGGAGGTTTTTCAAAGTTCATGGACCAATCTATTATTCTTTAGTTCCACTTTTCCACAATCTTCTAGAAGCTCCTTCATAGATATCTTTCCAAAATACATACACATGCATCCACCCTCTCTTCTCTCTCT